TCTAAAAGCACAAAGATTCAAATCAAGTCTGCAACATAATCAGATGATTACATGGCAAAAGTCAGGCTAAAAGTTGTTTTATCACCTTCTGAGTAGAACTTGGCATCTTTTTCATAAATCTTTGGGTCCCTTTTCTTCAACAGGGACAATGTTCTGTAAAAATCTCTCTCCACATCAGGGTCCAACTCCTGCAGGAGACAAAAACAAGCACTAAGACAACATTTAATTCTCCTTCAGAGGGAGAAGCAGCTGGAGATGCTAACCACTTCACTGTCATCAGAACTGGACTCAGACGACGAGTCGCTGCCCTCATCGGCTCGGTCTCCGAACCGGTCCTTCACTGCACAAACAAACCAGAGAAAAACAAACGGACCTTAAAATTCAACCACACTTGTCCCCACGTTGGCTCGTTAGCATTACGCTAGCCAGCTAGCAGTAGACACTCACGCTTCTGTAACTCCTCTTTCTGCCGGTACTTTTCGTACCTCTGAGCAAACTCGGAGTTGATTTTTAGCTCCGACTTGCCTGACATGTTTATAATGACAGTAAACAGCGGACAGTTAGGGACAGAAAGTCCGCATTAAAGAACAGATCCACCGCTGCAGCAGCTAGGCACGTTCAGACGTTGAGTCACGTGACTTCCGGTGAGCAGCAGGGTAGATACGGGCGGTGTCCTGCAGGGGGCGCTCAAACACCAGTTTTCAACATTTCATGCATAAATTCTTTAAAAACAAAATTAAGCATCCACTGAAATAACTTAAAGTCTGCCAAGAGTCAAGTAAAACTCACTACATGTTGAAAATTAAAGGGTGAGAATGAGATTTCACAAAATACAAACACTGCTGAGTGCAGAGGGTTGCACTTTTATTTTTGTACTCTATTAATCCCCAATGGGGAAATTAATTCTCTGCATTTTTCCCATTGCACATGTGAGCACACATGTGAGCACACATGTGAGCACACATGTGAGCACACATGTGAGCACACATGTGAGCACACATGTGAGGCAGTGGGTTGCCATCTAAGGTGCCTGGGGAGCAGCTGGGGAGGGTTGGGGGCCGCTTGCTCATGGGCCTAGGGCAGGTAAATGAGGGTGGAGGAAGTGGGTGTTTCACCTTTTCCACCCACGTTTTGATGTTGTCGGTCCGGGAAGTTGAGTCGGGGTTGACCGGCGACCCTCCGATCACAGGCCCACCCTCTCTAACCTCTGCGCACTCCGCTCACATGTCAACATGTCAGTGTGTAGAGGATGTTTGCTGAGTTCATGGGACACATGGGCCCGTTTGACTTCATGTACAGTTTCAGACCTTTAGTCAATAGTGATTTGCTGCTGTTTTCTCATTTAATTATCAAAACAATAAAGTTGTGCCTAATTTAAGATGATCTCTTTTGGTTGTGTTTTAAAAGAGCTGTACTAATGTGCAGTGTTTAACAAAAATAAAGGGATGTTTGAACATTTTGAAGTTATGAACAGTTAGTATCTTACCTGTCGTAGACAACTCTTTGAACCACTGGGACTTGAAGAAACAGTTTGATTGTGATCTGACTCTGATGAGCCAGCAACGTATTTGAATGTAACCGAGTAGAGCTGCTGCTTCTGTGCATTTAAAGCCATGTTCCACTGGGAGGAGGATTCAAGGCAGACCAGGAATCACTGGAGTGAATATGTGTCTTTCCTGGTCTGGGAAAGCTAGAAGACACCTTCTGTCTTGCAGCAGATGTTCTCAATTTCTTCACATGAATATTCCAGTCCTGTCATTAGAATTTTAAACATGTTGTCACAGGTATATATAACAGTCACAGAGTCCTTGCAGGTGTCTCAAATTCATCTCAAATCTCTTTTAATTTTGCCCCGAGCATCTCCAACTCAAATCAAGAGTCATGCAAGTAGCTGAGAGTCATTCCTAACACATACTCAGAGCTCTTCACCTTATGCAAGATCTTTGTCAAAACTTTTAGCTTTTGCATCAACACGGTTTGTCTGTTAGCAAAACATCTCATGAACCACTGGACAGCGTTTACTGAAACCTTTAGAAAATAATTCATGGTTGTACATCTTCAACAGATTAACTTTTGGAATCAGTTGGATTTAAGATGGCCGACACAGCTAGATCACACAAAGAGGGCCTTAACTCAGTCAGTGTCTCAGATATTGAGCTACAGTTTGATGTGGTAGTAGCTGAGAGTCATTCACAGCATATACTCTAGTGTGAATCTTGATATCGTTTAAGAGATTACATCATTTGACAAAAACAGCTACACTGGGTCATTTCTCAACTTCTTAGACTAAAGCTCTGACATGGAAGGCGGCAGGCGATATGCATTCATTTAAGGAATATTTGTCCTTTCAAGTTTTTGTCGGGGGAGCAGAGTGTTGTTTTTTTTAACGTTTGGTCTCTGTTAGAAAAACACAGACTGAGCAAAGGTCAGTGATTCTCCAGGAATGGATCGCCCAGCTGACAGCTGTTGTTTTCCAGGATCAGGTGAGCGGTGATGTCACATCCTCACCCGATGGGAGGCGACACGTGTCCAAACGTCTCGTGAATCTAGTTAACATATATCTGCTGTAAGTAGAACGAATGATCCTATTTAAATCAGAGCACCGTACTCTGACAGCAGAGTTTAGTTGTTCCAGTTGAGCTCAAACCTCGGCTGTCTTTTATAAAAGATCATTTTATATTCAATTCAATTCAGTTCAATTCAATTAATTTCAATCTAATTTATTTATATAGTTCCAAGTCACAACAGAAGTCGTCTCAGGACACTGAACAGAAACATTCATATATAAAATAATAATTTAACATTATTTATCTGAGGAGCAGACTGCTTCGAGTTTAACTCCATCACAGAACTCTCATCTTGAGCATGAAGGCGACAGTGGGAAGGAAGAACTCCCTCATGAGGAAGAAACCTTTAGCAGAACCAGACTCAGTACAAGAGACCATCTGCTTCGACTGGCTGGGTTTGAGAGGAACAGATACACAATGGCAGGTCAAGAATCACATGTTAAGATAGAAATAGTATAAAATGAAAACTATTCGATTTTAACAATTCAATATAATAAATTAGGTCAATTTGTCCTCTAGTAGTCTAAGCCTATAGCATCATAACAAGCCAACCCTAACTATAGCATTTATCAATTCAAGGAAAGTCTTAATCCCAGTCTTAAAACTGGACAATGTGTCAGACTTACGGACTGAAACTGGAAGTTGGTTCCACAAGAGAGGAGCCTGATAACTGGAAGATCTTCTTCCCATTCTGCTTTTGGAAATTCTAGGAACTGCGAGTAAACCTGCAGTCTGAGAGTGAAGTGTTCTGTTAGGAAAATATGGGACAATAAGATCTGTAATATAAAATGGAGCCAGGTTGTTGAGAGCTTTGTAGGTTAGAAGTAAGATTTTGAATTATATTCTGGATTTGACAGGGAGCCAATGGAGAGAAACTAAAACTGGAGAGATATGATCTCTCCCACTAACTCCAGTTAAGACTCTGGCAGCAGCATTTTGGATCAACTGAAGACGCTTAAAAGAAGTATTTGGACACCCAGATAATAAACCATTACAATAGTCCAGTCTAGACGTGACAAATGCATGAACCAGTTTTTCTGCATCATTTTTAGATAAGATCTTTCTAATTTTATTGATATTACGCAGGTGGAAGAAGGCAGTTCTATAACGTTTTTAATGTGGGGGATAAAAGACATGTCCTGGTCAAAAATAACACCAAGATTTTTAACATTAGAGCTGGAGGACAGATTAATGTCATCCAAGGAGGGAGAAAGAATGAAAAATTGATTCCTAATGTGCTCAGGTCCAAAAACTAAAACCTCAGTCTTGTCTGTGTTCAAAAGCAGAAAATTAAGGGTCATCCATGTTTTTATGTCTTTCCTCCATCAGAAACAAAAACAAACACCCCTCAACTCCCATCAGGCTCAATGAAAGAGAAGTTCCAGTTCACATATTTCTCTTTAGAGTCCGAGCTCTCTGTGAATCGATGTGTGTTCAGCCTCGTTTTGTTTGTCCCAAAGTCCCGCTCTCCCCCCGGCCTTGAGTTTTGGACTGGCAGTATCGACTGGTTTGACGACACACAGCCGCTCTCTCAGAGCTGATTTAAAACTCCTGCCAACTAAAGGCCCACGCCGCCGTTCACACCACACTTGGAAAGTACGATCAGAGTTGGAGCCGTTCTGGTCAAACCTTACCCAACATTTCAAGATGTTGAGTGATGTGTTAGTGGTTTATGTGTCGTGAATGACTCAACTCCAAACAAACCAAACTTTAGCTCAGTGTCTGTAAAATGAACCGAGTAAACCAGACTTGTGTGTTTTGTAAGGTTAGATGAGTGTAGCAGCCATGTTCAGGTTTACTCCGTCTAATGGTCACTTTTAGAAAGTTTTACTAAGCTCTGCTCTGTGGTTCATGAGATATTTTGCTAACAGACAGAGTCGACTCCAGTGGTTAAAGGCAAAGTTTTAAATATAGATCTCACCTGCTTGATCAGATCTCAGCGTATGTGTTGGGAATGACTCTCAGCTACTACCACTCGAACTTTTAGCTGTAAGATTGACTGAGTTAGACATTTTAGGGTTTGATTAGCTGTGGCGGCCATCTTGAATAGGACTGACTCCTGAAGTTATTTGCTGGTAGAGATACATCCACTTATTACTTTCTGGGACTTTTAATAAAATCCGTCCCGTGGTTCTTTAGATATTTTGCTAAAAAAGAGACAATTAAATCCACACGCAGACTTGGGCGAAAACATTATCGCCCACCTCTTGCTTTTCAGCTGTGGGTGATGAAAATAAACAAACTGAAAAACAACTACTGAAGTCAGAGAATTTGATCTGAGCTCAGATCAGAATCAGCTTTATTGTCATTGCACCGAAGCACAACAAAATTACATTTCAGTACAGCCCGTCCAAGTAAAATAAACACAAACAGACAAGGGGAGACGGAGGTGTCTGAGGCTGCAGCCTCGTGGGAGGTGCTGCCCTTTTCATTTAGATAAGAAAAACAGAAACACGGGGGAAAAGGAGTTGTAAAATCATATCTCACACTGTGTCGTAGATGGGACACAGTGTAAAAGTTGCAACAACAAAAAAACAAAACTCAGCACATAAATAGCAACATATTGATGACATTATGATACATATGCATGAGGAGGCCCAATGAAGGTGGTGAGTTTGTCCGTGGACACTGCCAGATAGTTCCATAGTCCCGATAAGAAATGGTGCAGTGTCAGCCAGCTCAGCTCTGACACAGGTCCACAGATGTCCTCGGGAAGGAGCGGGTAGGTGAGGGGGAGCAGAGCTTCTTTTTCGCATAACATCCAGGAGAGTTTGGGAAAGTTGGCCAATTCAAGACCGACACGGGGGAGCCAGATTCAGATAACAAGTTATTTTGGGTCAGGCCGACTCTGCTTGACTTCTGTCTGCCTTATAGTTCTACTGGTACGTCTCAATGGTGACTTCAAACAGCCAAATGTTTGTAGTCAAAACCGCCGGGTCGAGCTTGTAGCTTCTCCAAGGTTGATTCCTTCCCGCCAGCGAGTTTCAGGAGCCACAAGTGGCCTGAGATTCTCAGAAATCGCGTCCAGCTTGCAGCTCAGCTCACACAGCATCTGAGTCTGAGTGCTCATCGCTCGGGACATTCCTTCACACATGACGGGCAGCCTCACAATGGCCAGAACAGCTGTCGACGTTTTCCATATTTGTCGATATTCCAGGTAACGACCAACTCCAAAAAGCAGAAATCCTGTTATCATAAATATTATTAAGAACACGTCTTCTACATCCTCAATCAACAATACGGACAGACACATGATCTTCCACTGCCCTCAGGAATCCATGGTGTATCCAGCTGCAAGTGT